GTGTGTGTGTGTGTGTGTGTGTGTGTGTGTGTGTACAGTCAATACTTGATCGACTCAGTAGTTACAAAAGAAAGCATCATTATTTCAACCATTGATGTCTTTAACATCCTCCAGAAATCATTTTCTTTTCTGCCTTAGTTCACCAACAGACACACATGCATAGAAGAGTATTTTAAACCACAAAAAGCTCAGCTACAGCTGAATAATAATATTTAAAATTTGGATGGAACAAGGTATTGGACAGAATATGTTTTATTCTCAGGATGTACATTTTCTTCCTCTCATTCATGTCTTTAAAAGACCGCTAAATTAGGGCTGTGATTATACCTTTTAGGATCCTACACCAGGCCTAAGAAGTCATTGTAAAGAATGAGAATTTGAGATATAATTTTAAAATCCTCAAAAACATCACAAATATCATTCTGTAATCTAGGCTGGTACTAAAGCCACAACAACCACATTTTCAAACTGTCTTTGAACCTCTCTGCCTTAAGCAACCACCCATTACTGCAGGATAATCAAATATCCTGACCATTTATCACAATTAACTTAATAACTGATAATTATTTTGTGTATTGTGTCTTTTAAAAAAATGCACTGTCATCAAATTGATTCAACCATATCATTATAGTTGAATCTACCCTATAAAATAGAGAACTGCTTGGTGACTCATATAGACATACACACATATAAGATATATATCTAATATATATTTAATATCATTATATATATTTTCACACAGCACACAGCCTCAGCTTTCTATCACAGAGTAGCTGCTAAGTTTGAACTGCCAACCTTGCTATTAATAGCCTATTATGTTTACTTGTCCCTAAATCAACACACAGTGAAAGATATGTTGCTATTCCTTTTGAACTGGCTAGCTCCCTTTATTTAAGGAAGTTTCAAAATAAAAAGATATCTGACAACCCAAACCGCCTTAACATCAGTTTTCCTTGGGCTATCAAGGTGCATACATGTACAAAAATGGCTAATGGTCAAGTAGGCTCGTGAAATACTACACACCAGATTGTACACTGTCAAGACCTATATCAGCATATAGCATAATCGGAAAATTGAAAGCTCTGAGGTTTACCTGTAAGAAATCAACACTTGTTTGATACTGAAATTAAGCACAATAGTTTTCAAGGAATACCTATTAATAATTCAAAGACTAATATGGCACTGTAGAACACAACTTGGACAACACTGCAAAAATAAAGCCCATTTATTGTCATTAGTGAAGGCTGTACTAAAGGGTACAATATGGTTTTCCACGTTAAGTTTTTTTTTTTTTTTACAAACTGGGAGACAAAAGCTTAATAGCTGTAGTCTAGACTCA